ATATTAATATTAATTAATTATTAAAAAAATTTTGTACTAACTTAAAACTTTATAAGAAATTATTTTCATTATGAATTGAATATTCTTTTGATCATTTTATATTAATTATTATGACAGATTAAAATAAAATCAGATTAAAATAAAATAAGTAATCTTTTTTTGTGTACAAGTCACATGATATATACATATTATATATTTCAGCATTTTTATTATTATTATGTTATTTTACATATTAAAATGTTAATAATACAATAATATAATATATTATTAATCAAACAATAAGCTTTTATTTATATATATACCATTATTACTTACTCTGTCCATCTAAGTTTTTTTAAATTCTTCACTGCAAAGATTTTTATCTTACCATTAATCTCTACTCTTATAGTTCTATTATTATTATACATATTAATAACCTTTTCACTAATATTATATATCTGCTCTAACTTCTGTTTTCTTATTTTTTAATTAGTATCATGATTCAGAGTAATTGCAATCTTCTCTTTAGATTCAAAAGCTAATTTTCTTTAATGAATACTTCTACAGATCATTATCTTATTTTGATAAAGCTTATTATTTTGTACAATCTCTATTCATATTTTTTTAATCTGTCTTATATGAGTTTTATAAATGATAACTTGATCACTATTCTCTTGTATTACTTCAGTAATTGTTTTACATGAAATATCTTCTTTCTCTTGTATTTTAATCAAGACATAAACTTCAGTATTAAAAATATTAACTTGTTTTAAAGTCTTGTTAAGTTATGTTATTTTATTCAGAATATTATTGATTTGTATTATTCTATTCAGAGTATCATTAATTTGTGTTATTTTGTCTGGAATATTATCAATTTATATGATTTCATCTGAAGTATCATTAATTTGTATGATTTCATTTGAAATATTATAAACTGGTATAGTTTTATCTAGTTTATTATCAATCTTTATGATTTTATCTGATTTATCATGAGCTTATATAATTTCATCAGACATATCATTGATCTCTGTGATTTTATCTGGCTTATTATGAGCTTGTGTAATTTTATCTAGTATATTATAGACTTCTCTCATTTTAAATTCAAAAAATATTTTGTAGGATGATTTTTTGTGAGCTTTATGAGATACTTTATTATAGATAATTATAAAAGAAGAGAGAATATTGATCTATCAGTAATCCTGAACTTTAAAAACTTCATTTCATAATATTTTTATTAGATGCTGATCAAGTATTTGGTTAAATCTCTCAATCTTGTCTTAACTTTGTGAATAATAGATATGATTATGAATAAGTTATATTTTGAGTACTTCACAAGTATATTTTAAAATACTAGTTATAAACTCTGATCCATTATCTGCTTAGAGTTTTGAAAGTGAGCTAAAACTTATAAAAACTTTAACCAATTCATAATAAATTATATCACCTTCTTTATCTTAAAGTGAAATGATCCAAATATAATATGAAAATATATTAATTATCATAAGAATGTAACTATACTTATCATTATACTTGGCAAAAGAAAGTAAGTTAACTAAATTAACTTGAATATATTTGAGAGAGCCATCAGCTATAACAAATATCAAATTAGCTTTTTCTTTGATGCTGATGTTTTGGATGCAGATTGAGCAGTTTTTTACATATTTCTTGACTTCATCTTGAGTAATATCAATGTGTTGCTTGAAAAGTATCATATATATTTTATAATATTCAAAGTGAGTGATTCTAATATAAAACTTTTTGAAGAGTTTACTTTTAATTCTGTATTATAAGCTGGAATAACTCTTTTGAAGATGAGCCAGAAATTTTTATCTTTTGATAGTTAAATATATAAAAGATAATCCTTTTAGTGATCATATAAAAAATTTTTGCATCATCTTTAAAAATTTACTCTCTTTGTCAAGGTATCATACTTTGCTACAAAAGTGTCAGACCTGAGATATCTCAAAATATCATTAAAATTCTTGGATATATTTGGTATTTTTGAAAGCTTGACTATTTTAAGAGAAGAGAATGAAAAATAAGAACTATTTGATATATTTATTCAGTATATAGTGATTATATTTGTATTTGGATTTGTCTGGTATATAGTATTTATATTTATATTTAGTATATAAAAATTATGACATAATAATACAAGTAAAATCATACTTATTCACATATCTTAATTTTAATATAATCTTCTTCTATATAACTAATAGAGATAACTTGATCTAGCACAAAATATTGAAAAGTAATATGAATATCACAAAGTGAAATCCAATGTAATCTTCTTTTATATAATAGAAATAATACAAAATACTAAAAAGTAAATAAAAGTAAAATCTAGTATAAAGCATCTGAGAAACTAATGACAAAAAGTATGATAAATGTTGAAAAGACATGACAAATGTAATATTAGATCTACCAGCAGTAGCTCTATTTGTTACTATATTGTCACTTGATCAGCACTTTATCAGCTCATTTGGTTATTAATGATGTTTTATTTATCAGAATATATTATAATATCCATTAAGACTTCTCAAGTTAAGAGTAGAGTTGTGATTTGTTTATCTATAATTATTATAAAGTATTCTAAAATGATAAAATTAGCAATTTTTAATAACAAGAAATATATTAAGAGATGATAATTTTGATGGCAAAAAATAAAATAGTAATATCAAGCAGTAATAATTTTGATGACAAGAAACAAAATAATAGCATCAAGCAATAATAATTTTAATAATGAAAAACAAAGTGACAATTTTAAGGTCCAAGTAAAAGAAAATTTCATAGTTTAGTAAGTTAAATGCATAATTCTGACATATTAATCACAAAATAAAACTAATTTAATAACCTATTCAACATTAACTTAGCATAATTATTATGAAAGTGACAGGTGTGATGAGAAAAATCATTTTGTATTACTAATTCATATAATTAATGCTAAATTACATGCTATAATGATTTTGAATAAATAAAATACATGATATAATATTATGTGATATGTATAAAAAATTGGTCCAAATTTTATTTTAATCTGATTTTATTTTAATCTGTCATAATAATTATATTCATAATAATTATTAATTTTTTTACATATAGAAATAAAATAATTAATTATTCTTTAAAAATATGTTTCAATAAAATTTTATTTTAAATAAAATACTTTTTTAATAAAATAAAAAGAAAAATAATATATAAAATATATGTATTTATTTTAAATATAATATTAATTAACTATTCTTAATTCTAATAATTAATTACTTTATCAAACTTAATTAATTTTTTTTAATTACTTTTTAACTTTTTATATATAATATTTTTAAGTTATGCTAATTATAAATTAATTTTAATATAATATTTTATCTAATTTACTTAAGAATAAGTAAAATCTTAAAAGAATTATTATAAAAATCTTTTTTAAATTAAATAGAAAATAATTAAAAATTAAAATTATTAAAATATTAAAGAAATTATAATTAAAAGAAAAAAAATTAATAATTTATAAATTATTAATTTAGTATAATATATATATTTAAAATTAATAAATAAGACTAAATATAGATTAAAAGATAAATTAAAATAGAATTATAAATTATAATAAATTAAATATTAATAATTTCTTATATTTTTAATTTGAAAATAATTATTAATTATATCACATGCTATAATTATATCATATTATTACATTTCATATAATAGTTAATTAATTACAAAATTCTCAATTTTAAAAGATTTACTTTATAAATTTTTAATTATTATTAATTATAATAATTAATTTTAAGCTATTAAACTTAATATATAAATTAAGTAATCACTATTATAAGAATTTTTTAATATTTTTCTATTTATAATTTGAAGTTTATAGGTATTTTTATTATAAGCTTCATAAATATAGAATAGTTCTTTCTATTTTTCTTCAAATTTATTATAATATTAATATTAAGTTTTTATTTATTTTATCAAGACTTTTTATCTTATTTAAAAGATTATTAACTTTTTTTTCTTGTCATACTAATTTTTTTTTATTTGAATTATTCTTTTTGAATATTATTAAAAGCTATTTCATATATAGTTTCTAATTTATTAATTATTTTACATATTCTTTTGATAAAAACTTCTTTAAAAATAAGATTATTAAAATCTTTTTAATTCAATATTTAATGATATGATTATTTATTAATTATATATTAACTAAAAAGACTTAAATAAGATTATACTTTACTTTATTATTCTATAAGCAAATAAAACTGATAGGAGATAATAATCATAATTTTTCTTGTAAAGTTAAATATATTTTAATAATAAGATATATAGGATTCAATTATTTAAGGATGATAAGAAGTAAATAATTTATACTTGATCTGAGATATTCTTTGTTTAATATAAAAAAAATTATATATACTTTTATTACTTTTATTTTTTATATATTTACATTTTTGTTTTGAATTATATTTTTAATTATAACTTTGTAAAAATTAAAAAAACTTGAGTAATAAAAATAATTATTATTATTATAATGAGATAATTAAAAAATTACAATAATCTTTAATAAAATAACAATAAAAATATTCAAAATTGGTAAAATAATTACAGTCAAATCTCTATATAATCACTTTATAATCATCCAATTTGAGTTTTCAATTATTAAGTAACTATAATGAAAAAATCTATAGTCACATCTTCTATAATTATCCATAATGCTCATCGTAATTATTCAGAAAAATTATGAGGACAACCTCACCCGACAAATAAAGATAAATTATAGAATCGCATTAATTCTTTTTATTACAAATATATATTACAAATTTTCAGAAATAAAATACATTAGTTTGTAAAAAATTGATAGATATACAAAAAGTTTAGTCTATTGCATGACCAAATAAATGAAGTAATAAAATAAATAGATTAATAAATGTTTTTAATAAATTAATAAATAGATTAATAAACAATGAATATAAACAATAAGTGAATAATAATGAAAGGATGAATAACATAAAATTAATTTCGATCTATTAAATCTACAAATCATTTTCATCATCATCGATGTCTTTATCCGCTTCTTTCGATTCGTCCGAATCATTTTCAATATTTAAATTCAGTAAAGTTTTTCCTGTTTCACGAGCTTCGCGTTGCACTCGCATGGCTTCAGTCTCATGAACTGGCTCAGGTTTTTCACCCGGAACGAAACTCAATAACGGTTTAAAATCTTTATTTCGTAAATTAAGTGTATGTTTTACGTCGGGCGAAAGATCTAATTGAAGCAACGTTTTCCCTGGTGATGTGGATGTCGAAGGAGACGTGATTTTTGGTCCGTTTCGAATTAGAGGTGGATCAACCGATATCAATGGCCCATTTGAAGGTTTTCTTTCAGGTCGAGGTCTCGAATTAGATGAATGTGGTGACCCCTCGAAAGAATCTTTGGATGGCGATAACAAACCTCGTGCTAGCAAAGATCCTTTATTAAACTCTGGTGTTTGTGATTGTGATATTTCAAAAGTTTCTTTTCCATTAGATGTTAATCCCCTCGCTAGTAATGAACCTTTGTTATATTCGGGTGTGTGAGATAAAGATATTTCAAAATGATCTTTGTTCGCCGGAGAAAATGCACCTCTAGTCGCCAATAATGATCCTTTATGAAATTTTAATTCGTCATCAATATTTACAAGTGTACTACTAGACGAAACATTAGTATCGACGTGATCTCTGTTGCCTCTACCCTCGAGCAAAGACCCCTTATGAAATTTTACATCGTCATCAATATGCACTAATGTCCCATTACTTTCTCCATGATCTCTATTTATTTTTGTTTCGAGCATGGATATTTTTGTTTCGAGCAGGGATCCTTTATGGAATTTTACATCGCCATTAATTTGTACCAAAGTGCCGCCATTACTATTATTGGATTTTTCTTTTTCTTTATAATTTTCAAAAAATGCTTCAGTTGTGGCTAATAAAGAACCTTCTATGAAACTTGTGACTTCCGGTTCAACCGGTTTTATGGGTGGATTGTGTCTTTCAAAGTCCAATAAAGATCCACTTTTAAAAACTCCTATGTCATTTTTTTCTTCATCTGATGTGGCAGTGGTGGTGGTTGTTGGGAGTGGTGGTGAATTTTCCGAAAAGTCAAGTAATTGCTTTCCAGCTGATCCTTTTGTAGGTACACGGACGAAACGACGCACATTGGCCCATTGTTCTGAAGACGAGAAACCTGAACTTTTCTCAGTGTTTTTGTCTCCAATATCCAATTCATCTCCCGCTAAAGCCAATAAAGGTTGAAGGTTTTTTGTTGATGATAGTTGGGGAGAGGTGGGTGTTGTCTGTTCTCCAGTTATAGCTGAAAATAATTCTGGATGATTCTCCAACATCATTTGATTCTATAAAAAGGATTTTCGTATTTAATCAAAATTTCTTCTCAATAAATTTGAATACAAATGATATGATTAAACTTACTCTTGCAGTCCTAATACTTAAAACCCAATCCTTCATTTTCTCCATATGATCAGCACATAAATAATGTACATAATCCTCAGAATTTTCGAACATCACAACTCGATCTTGAGATTTCAACGCAAATAGAAATGGTTTAGGTGCTTTTTTAATTGTTCGTGTCAATGTGTATACATCAAAATTGTATATGGAACAAAGAAGTACTGGATCCACAGCCTGAAATTGATTATGGCGGGGTAAAATTAAATTTGATCAAATGTATATAAAAAAAAGAATAAATAACATATGCTCAATCAATCAATACCTTTGCATCTTTACAATGGTAAATTGAGCCATCTTTTAAAAAGAAATATCGCTTCTGCCATTTGTTTTTTTTAGTCTCTAAGTGTAACCAGCCAAATAGAGGCGGCACTCCATTACTCAAACCCTATTTAATCAAAAATACATATTTAATATAGATTTCGTTAATTAGAAAATAATTTACAATTACGAATCACAAACCTCAACTGTCAAGGAACTTCTGTAAGCGTATTTCTTTAGAAGCAATGCATTAGACGTTTTTGGTTCCCAGCTTCCGATCACTGTTGTAACAATTTCCCAATCCCTTAACGGTCGCTCTAAAATCATATGAATTTATCAATACTCCACAAATTATGAGAATATACAGGGAAAAAATTTACAGCAGAAAATTACCTAAACCGAATTCATTAACCAATTCGAAAAGTGTCCATTCATTTCCATCTTCTATAGCATTACGTTTTTTGAAATATTCGATTATGTTTAGGGCGTTCATTTTTGAAGTTAGGGCAAGAGTTTTGAATTGTCGGGAATCATCGATATATATTCGCGTGGTAACCTTTCGCAACGTAATAATTAAAAAATGTTAGAAAATGTCAATTATTTAGGAATTTGATTTGTAATGCTTACCTTTGTTTCTGGTATTTTGGGTTCTTCATTTTTTACATCGCTAGTTTTGGGCTTATAAAAAAGCATAGGTTGATAATTAAGTAAAAAATTAATCAATCATAATATTAATACGTATTAATTAAATACCTTGTCACGACGAGATTTTGAACGATCAAGCTGTTTCGGTTTTTCTGCTTCATCTTGTCCACGCGCTTTTAGTCGCTCTAAATGTAAATCTCGCTCTTTTTCAAAATCAATGTCCTTTTCCCTTTCCCTAGAAATAGCTCTTTCTCGGTTATCATTTCGATTGCTTGATTTAGATCTACCTCTTCGTTCCTCCGTTTCTCGAGTTTTAGATTTAGAACGACCTCTTTCTTCAATTTCACGTGGTCGTGATTTTGATCTGCCACGATCATTCGAATTATCATCGGGAACTCGCCTTGATCTGCCACGATCATCTGCATCACGAGATCGAGTATTTGCACGTTCTAAAGTGCTTACTCTCTCTTTATCAGAATCTGTTGCTTTTTCTCGTGCTCGAGATTTCGCTCGTTCTAAAGTGTTTACTCTCTCTTTATCAAATTCCGTTTCCCGTGTTCGGGATTTTGTTCGTTCTCTGTTATTTTCGAGTTCACGCGTCCTAGATTTTGCTCGCTCACGCGTTCTTGATTTTGCACGCTCACGTTCTTCAAGTTCCTTTTCAGTTGTTTTGTATCTTTCCCTACCTCTGTCAGAAGTTCTACGAGAAAGTCGTCTTCCAAGCGCGTTTTTACTATCTGAAGAATCGTATGTTGCTTGTGTATTATTAGGGAAGGTTTTTTCCATGGATTTTTCTCTTGTTCTTTCGCGTTCTTTTTCTTTCTCTCTTGTTCTTTCTCTTCCCCTGTCTGATTCTAATTCTTTTTCCCTCGTCATTGATTTGGATCTTTCTTGCATTCCTGTATCATGTTCTCGAGTCCTAGATCTTTGATGCAAGTTTTCGTCTGATTCTGGATCTCGTTGTGTTTTATATCTGCCATTTTCCTTGTCAATTAATGATTTCTCGCAAGATCGGCCTGAAGATTTAATCCTTTCATTCAAATCTCGATCTCGTTGATTATTGTCCAGATATTCTTTTGGTAATGATGGCGTAGGTGGCGGTGCATCATTTTTCGATGATATTTTAGAAGATAAAGTTTTTGCTCTAGCTAATCCACGAGCAGTTGTTGGTCGACGTTTAATTTTGGATTGTTGGGTATTTGATGAGTCGGTGTTGGCCGATGATGGTGGCGAAGGCGTGTGTTTTTTTAATGGTTTACTAAAATTTGCTTTATTGCCATTTGACACGGAACGTTTCAAGTTTTCATGTTGACGAGATTTTATAGCTAAGTCTGTCATGGATCTCTGCGTTTTTAATGGTCGGCGTGGTGTCATAGATAACGGATTATAATCGCTATCACTATCTGCATCACTATCTGTTTCCGAGTCAGAATTGTCTGAAGAATCACTATCGTCGTCACTATTCAACTGTATCATTTGGCGAAGGCCTAATTTAGGTACAATATTTACAATGTCTTTTTGCGGCAAGGAATTTTCCAACGTCTGTCCAAAATTCGGGCTTATTATAGCATGGAGAGAATCAATCCCACGTGGCGATAATGGTGAAATAGTGTTTGCCGATTTTGGTGATGACGAATTGCTAGAATCCATCGAGGTGTTTATTCTATTGCTATTTATAAACGAGGTCTGAAGGGCTGTCAACGCAGGCGAGACAGGACGTTGCAACTTTCCACGTTGAGAATGAAGCGATGAAGCACTTGAACGTCGTGATGATGTAACCGAGGAAGATGATGATGGGATAATTTTTTCGATAGTAGCTGAGGAAGTTTGTGTTGTTGACGAAGAGGGGATGTTTAGTGGTTGTTTTTTGAGACTTGAGCCTATTTTTGCTACTTCTTCCTCTATGTCTTCTAGTGACAATAGGTCAATGTCAGACTCGGAGGAGTAATCGCCAGTCAATGATGTTTGTATACTGTTATTCAAGCTTCTGGACTGGTGTTTGTCAATGTTGAAGTCAATACCTTGTCGTTCTAAATCCTTTATTTATTTAATTGATATTTCGATATTTCAAAATCAAATTAATTTTCACTATTTGAACAACGTCTATTTAAATAGTTTGAAAAAATGATAATTCTTACAGCGGTAAGTTCTTCGACCTCCTGTTGCAATTCTCCGAGAATTCTATCCAATTCATGACTCATCTCTTTTTATAGAAAAATAAAAGCTTTTTTTATTCGAAACTGGATTTTACTATTCTACCAAAGACCTATGAAATAATAGCACGCAAGAAGGCTGGTATTGGACCAGTAAAAAAATTAAGATAAATTTTTAAAAGGAATTTGAGGAATGAAAAAGAATGACGGTTATTAATTTAAAAATAATATCGAGATGCCTAGTTTGATATTTTAGTGGGTAAAGAGCAATAAATAAATAAATAATATGCATGTAGCACCATAATTGGAATAGGGTATGCGTAATTTGGTAAAATAATGAGTGGGCAAAACTTCATTTTTGAGCAATGAATGTATTACAATGTTTAGTTTACATAAATAGATATGAAAATAAACATTTGTTTCTTTAATCGTTATTGATAATTTATTTATTTCTTATCTGTTCTCGAATCATCATAATAGGAATATCCGAGCAATTAATTTCTATTATCTTTTTAATTTCTCGGATGCGTTAATAAAATTAATAAGATAACAAATGATGTGTCCATAATAAAAAATAATCATCACTATCATCATCACAATAATATAAAAATTAATATCAACTAATATTAAAACATCAACTTTTTTCCACCACTTCATTCCATAAAGCATTAAGTATCTGCGATATCTTATTAACCCTGTCTAAGATCTTATTTTTCTCTTGTTCAGATTGCATTTTGGCAATCCATCGATGCCAGCGATCAGGATGAAACTTTATTTGTTCCTGGCGAAGTATTCGACGACGATCTGGTTCATTAATATCTGCACTATCATTATCAAATAAAAATTCGGTTATTCCTTCTTTTGATATTTTTTTTGTGTTGTCATCGTCCTGATTATAATAAGGCCAAGGAATGTTCTCAGCTTTAATAGTGGAGAATGCGTCAATGTCAAAATTTTTCCACATATTAAAATACAATTCTCGTTTCTTCTTTATCTTTTCCCGATATCTGCGTGCTATCTTTTCTCGACGTCTTTGTTCTCGTTCTTCCTCTTCAGCTAATATTCGAGCTCTTTCCTTTTCCTTCTTTTTCTCTTTTCGTCGTCTCGCTTCCTGACGCTCTCTCTCC